CCGGAGATTTGCTGGATGGCGAACGGCCGTTTAAAAAAAATTTTCATCAGTCGTTAAAAGAAGACTAGATATTGCTTTCGTTTGTTAAATGTTGCAACAATTCATGTGCTATTTTTGTTTCTTCGATTTTTTATTTGGTAATTGCCTGCAAATGCAGAGAACTCTCTGCTGTCTGTAATATTTTCACCGGGAAGGTGCAGTCCTGACCGATACGCGCGACTCGCGCGTGCAATAATACTCTTGATCGAAGAGACGTGTTCGAAGTTCCATATAAAAGGTGAACACCTTCGCGTCGCGATGTAACCCGGTTTTCAACGTTCGCGCGCGTTGTATTTCAAGGGGGAATAAGCTGTCATAAAAGCCCCCGGTGTTTTCATTGCTGAGTTGTTTCTCGTGTTTTGCATCGGATCCTCCGTTGCAGGAGGCATTTTTTTTTTTTCTTTTTTTTAAACGAGTGCCGGTGGCTCTCAGAGGCAAAGCGCCGCTCGTCCCTCCCTCTTTTGTCGTCGATTCGTATGCAAAGTACGTGAACACGTAGACTGTTAAATTTTCCACGTAACTGGGAAATGAAACGCGCGTCGCGAGGAACGGTCGTCCCGGTTCCCCGATTTTATAAGGCACGGATGTGTTATTGTATTTGGTCGTCGAATGTTTCACGCTAATTACTCGGGAACGTCATTAACCTGGAAAGGGGAAAAATGAGAGGCGATCGATCCTACTTTAGAAATATAGTTTCAGCGGTGGTTCTTCAAAGGATACATCGTCATTAAAGGAAGAAAAGGATCCGTGGAACTCTCTTTCTCGTTCTTTTGTTTCTTCTTCAACAACGAAGCTTTCCTTTCCCGCTTCGACGTCTTCAATACGGTCTTTGTTCGTGCCGTTTTCCTTTCCCTCGCTCGGCTAAAAACGTTCCGCCGTGCGGATCCCGGGGCAGAGGCAACTGGAACGAGAAGAATTATGGAGGCATACACCCTTCCATCTTTCACGTTTCTTATCTTTTATCGCAGCGGCGAGCCGAAAGTTTATTTCGAATCGACGACGAATTAGTCAATGTTAGTCCCTGGTCTTTCCAATGGCGAAGTAATAAGTAGCAGCACGTAATTCCAAATCTGCTGAGAACGTAGGCCAACAGTCACGAAAAATTGTCGATGTTTCAAGAAAATCTTAATCAGGTCTTTAACTTTTACTTTACAAGATTCCGAATTCTTTTTCATTTTTCACGTAAAAAATGGGAGGGAAACTGAGGGTACTTGTACTCTCGAGAATTATCAACATTCAAAGCACTCCTCGTCCTTTTCAAAGAACATTGAACAAATTTTTTTCGTAACTACGTCCACCAGACGGTCTTGTAGATTGAAATTTTCTCTTTACCGTGACTCCTTTGAACTTGCTCTACGATTTTCTATTAAAACTTTAAACATTAGGGTTTTAATAAAAATTTATTTATGTTTTTTTTTAATAAAACTTTGAAACACAGGGATTCCTTAAATTATTGTCGTTGGCACAGAACGGCGGAAATAAATCACAGAGCAAGTTTTGAAGAGAAAATTTCAATCTTCAAGACAATGATGAATCTGATTAAAAAAAAAAAAACAGCGTGATTAATGATAAAGATGCAAACGTACGTTTAATTCCTCGTATATTTCTCATGTTAGACATTTGGTAATTTTAGTAAACACTCGGAGAGGGAGAGAGGGAGAGAGGGAGAGAGAGAGAGAGAGAGAGAGAGAGAGAGAGAGAGAGTCGAACGAGTCGATAATTTGCGCGCGTGCGTGCGAATCACGTTAAAGTTGAACGAATTAGCTTTCGACGGACGAAAGCTCGTCCCGCGTTGAAAGTCCGTCCCACGATAGAATTTAAAAGTAGAATCGTTCGTGTATTGATGAACCATAAAACTTGGACCAATAGAGAGCGAAGAGAATGGCCTCGGTGGACTGTTGGAAAATTTACTGGATACGATGTCGTCCCGTGCTGTGCTCTGGCCACTTCTTAACGCAATCCACAAGAGAATCCTTTTTCTCTGTGTGTCGAAAGATACGGGGGACACGGGACAATGTTCGAGGACTCGTTAAAGTTTCACAAGTTGGGAGAAAGGGTTGGCGCCACGAGAATAGCTGGTTGGAACACAGTGAAACGGATAGAATCGGTTGACGAACTTTCCGCTGTACGTACAACGGCTGACGAAAGTATTTGGACAGTCCGAAATGAAAATTACGCGTGTACAATTGGGAATTCGTACTATTGGGGTACTATTTCTAGGAAAATAGGAAACGTAGATTGAGAATTCTTTCTGCACGGTTAATTATATCGTAATTATCGCTACGTTATTGGACAGTTTATGTATGCTGTACGTGTTCCATCAATTTACGAATCTATAAATTTTTTTTACAAAACGCATAACATTTCGCGGCCTGATTATACGAAACATTTAAAAATTTCATCGGAGTTAAACTCTATGTAATGGAGGAATTAAATTTAAAAATATATATGAAAGTTTATTATTATCGTTGATTCCTTTCTGCGAAAATTATAGCAATATGTATAATGCTAGCAATTTTTAGAATTATTGTTCGGATTTAGTGATACGAAAAATCGAATGAATTTTTTATACGGATTTTTAAATATATCGTTGGATAATATAAAATAATGATATAAATTCTTTATTTCAATTTTTATTATGAACGAAATGAAAGTTCCAGACAGTCTGTGGTTTACTGTTACTCTTGTTTTATAAAAAATGACTGGAATGTACAGATAAAAATTTTTTTTGGTGTACAGAGTTATTTTCAATTGTGCGAAAATAGGTCGCGAAAGGAATTTTTACGTAATGTACTTTAACTAGGACAAAGTATGTTGAAATTTATTATTTCTTTCAACCAAGAACAATATTTCTAATTAATTCGTAGTTGAAGTGCACACCTCGCTCGTTATTTATAAAATTCAGAGCTCTCGCTCGTAGCGCAAAAGACAAGTGGCCCGCTCTTAAAAAATTAAAGGTCAACGCGTAGGCGAAAGGTTAAAGGTAACATTTTTCTCAACGGTTTCCTTAAACAGCGAGCAACGTTTTAGAGAACTTTGCCCGTTTTTGCTTCTTTGCCAACTTATTAATTAAAGACTTCGGTGCTTAACCCGGAGAGCTTTTCGCAAAAACAGAGAACCAAACGAAGAAATAAAAAAAGTTGTTACCTACAGTAGTGTACATTATAGGAAATTATTTCACTTAAATACTTATTAATACAACGCTGTGAGTAACATTTTCAGTGAAATGCGTCCTTAAGGAACAAAGATTCCAAAGGTGACAAAAATTACAAAAAAGAAATTTTAAAAAAGTCTGATTTTCGCGTGAAATTCCACGAGTGGAAATAATTTTAAAGGAATCAGCATCGACGGTCTGATAATTCCCTGAAATGGTCTGTTAGCCCGACGAAATATCCGATCCTCGGTTCGAGATCGAACGACGACACGGTGCAAATTAATCGAGTAATCCGAAAAATTCTTCGTCAGAGTCGTTTCCCTCTCGACTCTCGCTCGTCGCCGCTGATATTCCAGGCAAATATTTGTCCAGAGAAATCGGATCCACCGATCCGGCGGTGTGTCGCCGTATCAGTGGCGAGAAACGAAAGCAAGCAGAGCGTCACGCCAGCGATACAGATCGACGATTTACCTTCGTACTTATCAGCTGTTTTATCCGCGTTAAATCTCCGATCTCTAGATTACAGTTAACGACTAAACGACGACGTTTTACGACGTCGTTTCCACCGTTGTGTTACTCATTGCTGGATTAATTGTAAAACGTAGTATCGCGAGGACGGTAGGGGAGGGGACGATTCTTAGGGGTAGTAAGCTCTTTTTGTTGGCCAACTTGTTGCACGTTTCTTGTTTACTGGTCTTTTTGTTGTTTCTTTTTTTTTTTTTTAAGTGACAAGAATTAGAGTTGTATTATATACAATAAAATGTATATAATGTTTATTTTATAAAGGCATTGTGCCTTTATAGATACAATTGAAAAAAATTACCCTACTATTTTGAGTATTTTATATATTTCTTTTCAATTATTTTATTAAAGTAGTGGAGATCGAAATTGCATTATAGGTCAAATAAAGTGTACATAATAGTTTTTATTGTGAAGAGATATTCATCCAATGAACCTTTACAAATACAATTGAGAAAGTTGTTCTACATGTTATACGTTATTTTATATAGTTTTAGATTATAACAGTTTGAAGGATTGCTGAATAAATGGACTGATTACAGAACAGATTATCAATTGCGGAAATGTCGCGCATATACAAATATAATAATCGTGAAATAAAACAGTATGAAATCTGCGGTGCGTTTCGAAATCGTCGTTCGCAGAGAGCAGTCTTTAGCACGGTGAAACGGTGGTAAGGCTGTCACGCCGGGGGTGAGTTTAGATGCGCCTCGCCAGATAGCGTGATGCCAAGATCGCCGTGTAACTCGTTGTACAGGATTTCCGGAGTTCAGCAGATCCTCCATATAGATAGGGACTTAATTGGACCGACATAATTTTCCGCGCTTGACTAGGGCGTCGGATGATCGAGTTCTCCTGAATGTTTCTTGTACGTTGGGTAGGGGATTATGAAACGCTTTGCCGGAATGTTGGCCTGATCCTGCTGATACGTGAAAGGAATCCCCTGTTTCTTGCAGCCTCTGTAGATAGTATCACCGGCCACGTGTGATCTGTAATCTTTCTGGCATTGTGCTCACTCGCGAATTCTTGGACCTGTTAATTAGAACCAGAAAAAAAATCTGTGGTTTTGTAGCGTTGAAGGATAATTTAATACTCGATATTAAAAATCATCAAGACTTTATAGTTATTACTTTCGTCGTTATGATTGTACCTTTCACAAAACCTTTGCAACTTGGGTCGTGTCATTTACTCGTGAAGTATCGTCAAGGATAAAAATTTCTCACGTTTTTTGTCTCCTGTGATCGTCGTTCTTCGACCTTCAAACTGATTCTTCCGGTTGTTTTTCCAGGAACGGGCACATGCTGACGCATCGGAACAAAAAGCCGTACGAGTGCAAGGCGGAGGGATGCGGCAAATCGTATTGCGACGCGAGAAGTCTGAGAAGGCATACGGAGAATCATCATGCTGGTAGCAAGGTGAACGAAAGCGTTAGTCCTAGCAGTCCAACCACCGGTCCTCATACACCGAACACACCAGGGAGCAATCCCAGCACGCCCAGCACGCCAGGTGCAACGTCGACAACGAATGGCCACGGACATCCGGCTTTGAAGCAACTGCTCGCCACAGAACCGACACAGGCGCAACAGCAAAAGGTAAGATCTCTATACATTCGCGACAGATTTTATTATTATTATTATTATTATTGAAATTAAATTCAATCATTATTATTACTATTGTTCAACAATGCAGGTTGTAAATTTCTATTATATCGTATAGAATTTCGTTTATATACGAGAGGGTAAAAATATTGGTCGATCGTGGCCATTCAATTCGACCAAAAAACAAGCGGAGAACAAAGAATTTGATGTAGTAAAAATATAGCGAGTCAATCAAATTTTCGATATAGGGTTATACAGCTTAATGTAACTTTCAAGTTTTATCATATTATAGTCAGAGAGTTAATTATACTACTAAACTCTACTTGCTTCGATCTGTGCGTTGAGAAATTATCGTCGACACTGCAACATATCAGAAAAGTAAGAGTCCCATTAATTTTCAAACGAGCTCTAATGTGAGAGACAATGGCTATTCTTCCAGATGACAGTTTCGTCGTTTGCGAATTCGTAAGAAAATTTCGTATCGTAATAGCCGCGTCATAGTAATCTATCGAAAAGGATATCAAAGAAGCGACGGGGAAACGAAACTCCTCCTCTCTGTGAAAAATCTAACTCCTCCGCCTATCTATCACCGGTATTTACCGTGGTAATTTAATCCAAGAGCTTGCCATACCCGCGTCGGTATATACGGCGGCACATAGATACATGTATATCGTGACTCCGTTTTCTTGGAATTGGTCCGATATTGGTTCGTCTGAGATAGGTTTAAAGGCTTAGAGTAGTAGCGGCTCTCACCCGGATGAGTCCGGTCAACGTGGATCTCGAAGATTCAACGACGTAAGAGGATTACCTTGATCTACCTGAACGTCGAGCGATGTTATGCGACCTCTAACTGCGACCTCGTTAATTTTTATGTGTCATTCGCGATCTTCAATTTGTCCGGATCCGGCGGCGGCGGTGGTGGTGGCTCGATAATTCTGGGATAGATCAGGGATTACATACAATCGATGGCGAAAGGAATTCTTTAATAACGTCTCGCGGATGATGGTTTCCTCTTCTCCCTGTCGGTATGGCAGATCGGCGGGGCTATCGGAAAGCTATAAATTCGATTGGACAATTGTAATTGAAAATGGTTTCTGTTGTTACCGCGCGTCACGGGGCCGCTTGGCTTTTAATTGGGGAATTTATGACGGACGCGAGGAAACGAACGGTTACAAATAAATTCGTCCTTTCTCAACTTCTCTTCAATTTCGTGGGGGCGCAAATGTAGGTTATCAGTTCAACTGGCTCTGAGATACGAAACTTTGATCTTTGAACTAGTTTTTCAAACTACCTTCCGCGACAATAACTTTGAAATTTCGAAGCGTTTCACGACGACAGTTTTAAATTTCATTTTATATCTTGAATTTCATTAAAGAATTAAAGAATCAAAGAGTAATGTTTCTATTGTCTCGATTCCTTCATTAAATTATTGCGCCAGTGTGAATTGAAGCACTGACCTAATTACCTTGTACAAACAAGATCAGATTTGAAATGTCTCTGTCGAAGGGAATTCAAACGTTGAGTAGAAAATGCATGATCTTAGTCCTAACACGTCCTAATGACAATGGCAGTACACAAACATATTTGAGTGTATAATTACCAAGAATATAGTAAATACGACCGTCCAACACAAACAGAATGTTAATATTGCGGCCGATTACCAACGCAGTAGAAACTGGTCGTATCAGTCAGCCATCGTTTACACTGGCACACAGCGACGGCCGCTACTAACAGTGGAGTTAGCATATAATCAGCCAGCCGTGACTGTAGTAGGAGTTTCTAGAAACTCCGACAGTAGTAGTTCCTGATCTACGACGATAGTGGTAGATATTATGTGCCACAGTGTTCCGTGAGAGTAAATAGCAAAAATTGAATCTTCGTTTGTTCGTTAAATCTTTTCGTAAGTCACCGCAATGTTCGATTCTGTTTTGAGAAGTTGGATCAATCAGATTTAATTAAAAATTTACGGAAATATTTCTGCAAAAATAACACTTCTAAAGATCAAACAATATCTCAACAAGCATGTGACAACAACAAATGGAAGTAAGTTCTTAAAAATTATAGACGCTTCAATTTTTAATCATCGACTATTCATGGGAAATTCAAAACGTATATAAAGACACATAAATTATCCAACGTATAAAATTACATCATTCACATAGAAAAACAACAAACAAAAAGAATCGCTTTTCACAAAATAATCGCTGTCACACGGATCGCAGAATCCTTCGAAGAAGACTCGAATCTACTCGAATCTGCGTGATACTCGATTCCATCCCTAGCTGCGACTAGGTTCGCAATGGGTACGGCAGGTCGAGCTGGTTGGCCATTGTCGGACGATAAAGGGTAGCGAGAGAAAACGAACTGCCTGCAACGGACCAAAGGAGAAGAAGAACAGCAAGAAGACGAAGAAGAAGAAGAAGAAGAAGAAGAAGAAGAAGATAGAGAAGAGTGAGAAGTAAAGGACGAAAGGAGGCGTCGGTGAGTTCACCCTTCCTCATCCGGCTTGATCCCCCGTCCACCGTCTTCAGACCCGGTGGAAATTAGTTCTCGGCCGTGGAGCACGAAATTATTGCTGCTTTCAAAGTCGCTCGGAGCCGGAGCTCTCGCCGGAGCCGTGCTTACATCACGGCTTCCTCACTGGGACGCGAGGGAAAAGAAGCGTCTCGGAGCAGCGTGCACGCGTGTGCCAGCATAAAAGAGGAGAGAGAGAGAGAGAGAGAGAGAGAGAGAGAGAGAGAGAGAGCGGGCGAAAGAAGGCAAGGGTAGTTAAACCGAGACTACAAATCTACGATATTGAGTTAGAAGTGAGGCGGACCCTTGAAGCGGGGCTAATAAAATTTGATGACCGGGAACTTCGTAATGAGAATGAGAGGGGTGGGACCAGCTGGTGGACTGTGCAGGGTGGTTACTGTGAAAAGGGAGAATCGGCCGCCTGTGAAAACTTCTCAGACGCAACGAGTCCCGTGATTTGTGATATTTCGTCGGACGTTACACGGGCCTTTGGTTTCTTACACTTGCGTACCGTGCTGGTGGTTGGTCATTGCAAGCAATGGGGTGTTTTTTATCTTCTGGTCTCGCCGAGACTCGTACCGTGACGACGTGTATTCGTGTGTTTTGGAAGAATGGCAATTGTGGTTTTGGAAATTCGATTCGATGCAGATACTCTGTCGACGAATGGATTTTTGAGCGACAGGGGGTGGTTTCGTAGATTTTGTTGAGGTCGTTTGTGAATTAGTTGAAATAGCAGCGTTATGTTTTTGTCTAAAAGATGGACTGTAACTCTTGTTTTTTTTTTTTTTTTTTGTTTCTATGTTTGTGTAATTCGTACGTTTCTGAAGAATTGAAATTTGAATGAAAAAATTTCATTCAGTTGTTTCATAATGATTTTTGAAATAGTAAATAGAACGGAATCTTAAAGATAATAACAGGAAATTGAATTTGTGTATTTATGTCTTCGTTGTATTTTTTTTTCCACAATTCTTCGACTGGCTGTGAAAACGATCTGTCATATTACCTTGCATTTCTATCTGATTTTCAACCCCATTCACAACACAGATGAGGTTTTCTAAAAATTCACGAAAGAAAAAAGAGAGGGGCGGGGGGGGCGAAAGAAATTCGTTGCTCGTTTCGTTTGCTCGGCTCGGCAGCGCCGGGTAAAAATGCAAAGTAGAAAAATACTGCCAGGAGCACAAAGGTATCTCTTTAAACATCAGGCACGAGTGCAAAGAAGAGGTCAGTTTATACGCCGTGAATGTACCAGCGTAAAAACGTTGAAGTGCCTTTATTAAAAGTCTTCTATGACGCCGGTCGGGGAACACGGACTAAGATTATTTTTGCCGGTATACATAATATCGTACGTTAGAGAGACGAAAAACACTTACCCGTGGTACGAACGTACGATGTTGGTTCTTGCATCACTTGGAGGGTGTTGAGATACATTATGTAGCTTAGAGAAAATTCAATGTTCCATTTTGCATTTTTCCATCCTGTTGGACAATTATTTCTGTTAATATAAAATGATAGAATGTCAAGTGTAGGTTAACTTTAAATTTGCCGACGTCGGATTAAAATTGGCAGTGACAAATTACGGTCGAGCGTAAATCACAGAATGACAGATTTCACAATTTTTTGTCGAGAATTGTCCCAAATTTTCCAGAATTTTCGAAACCCGATAAACTTAGAAGCTTCCCCAAGCGCCGAGCCTACAAATTTTTAAATTTCTTCCCGGAAAAAAAAAAAATCGCTGCGAATTTCTAAACCCCGTTGCAACCTGAAACCTGCGAGCGAATGCCAAGCAAATTACAATTACCCGACGACACGGGCAACTCTCTGCTTCCTCTTTTCAAACGCAACTCTTGCACCAGGGATGGCTATATTTACGGGAGGTATGAAAGATCTCGGGAACAAGGGTGGCGCGTGAACGCAATAGTCAGGTGAAAGGAAAGAAAGAGAGAGAGAGAGAGAGAAAGAGCGGTTCGTCGCGTGAAATCCACTCGAGGGTGGCGGAAAGATGAGCCAGTGGAAGGGACCCGTTGTCAGTGATTCGACATCAAAAGGCGTCTGTCGGTCGTTCAACCGGAGGCCCTCTGATTGCACGGTAAAGGCGGCGTGTCTTAGAAATCATGGTTATCGCGGCAGAAAATCACTTTCTTGCTCGTGGAAGCGTGCACGCTCGACAAAAGCGGCAAAGGGCAAGGTGAACCATAAAGGAAAGAGGAGGGGGGAAGGGTGTCCCAGCGTGCTGCTGCTGCTGTTGCACCCTCGAAACGAGTGGCGTCGGGTTTGCCATTGTCTTTCGTGTGTCTCGCCTCTGTATGTTGGTCAGCCGCTGGTAATTCGATAATTTTCTACGTCGATCGGTGATTTTCTTTCTCTCCGGCAGGGTGAGAGAAACGACACTTCCGCCGTGACACTTTGATGGAAATAGTCTCCGAAATAGGTGGTAATCGGTTGATCGGGAAAATTTAATCGTAGATTTGGATTTGGATTAG